TGGAAGAGTCTGCGATGGTGAATGATGTCTTAGACTTCCATAATGGGAGCGCCAGTTGGAAGATTGTTTTTGGTCGGGGTTTGCAGGACTGGAAATTGAATGATTATGCGCTGCTTTTGACATCTTTATACGAGGTACATATCAGGGCAGGAGAGGATGATTGTAGCAGGTGGAGGTTGACACGAGATGGTATTTTTTCAGTTCGCACTTATTTTAGATCTTGATTGGGTCTTGTAGAGAGTTCATTCCCCTAGAAGGTGGTCAGATGACAGGTGTTAACGATGGATAACCTCCGTACAAGGGGTTTTTATGTTACAGAGTGATGCTGTATGTGTAAGAGGGATGGGAAGACGATTGATCACTTATTCCTTTATTGTGATGTTGCTCGTTTACTGTAGAACGATATTCTGGTGTCGCAACACATGNGTGGAGATGATTGATCACTTATTCCTTTATTGTGGTGTTGTTCGTTTGCTGTGTAACGATATTCTGGTGTCGCAACACATGGATTGGGTGTTACTGAGGCGTACGGAGGACATGTTAAAGGCATGGATGAGAAAGTTTCGAGATTACGGGCTGTATCGTATGGTGTGTGTGGAAAGAAAGAAACAGTCGTTGTTTTGAAGACCAATCACGGACAATAGAGCAGGTTAGGGAATTGCTTTATTTGACATTGTATACTTGGTTTAATGCTGCGGCTACTAGGCATATAGACGGGTTGCCTAATTTCATATTGTTACTTTCTGATTTAAATTGATAATATACTTCCTGTGTATTATGCATTGATTAATAAAATACTTGATTACCTTTAAAAAAAAAGCATTAATGCATAAATTGCTCTCAAAATTTACCTTATTTTTTATTATTGTCCTGTACTTCTGAACCAACTTTTCCCCATCATTTCCTAATATTGTTAAACATCTATGTTCCGTTATGCATCAAGGAACAACCAGATTTCTTTGGCAATCTGAAATTAGTAATACCAAGTTATTCCAGTGTCTTTTGCTTTTACTTACCAAGATATAGTACAGTTTCTTTTCACCCATCGTACTGATTTGTAGTATATCCAACGGCCTTGTTCTCATCTGATTATCACATTGGAGTTGCACATTGTCAAATCAAGATTTATTCGTGTGATGTAACAAAATTCGGGCACTCTGTTTTTGTGGGACCTCAAAACTTGAACTTCATTTCTTACTATTTGCTTCATATTTTGTATTGTTTAGATTGATCTTCAAGTCTTTACATGGATAATAGAGGAGCCAATGAGATAAAAATATTTACAGTTACCAAAATTTGTAAATTAACATAAATTTTGCTCCTTGAATTGTGTATCACCTTTTCAGATTTCAGCTTCCAAGATTGTTGGTTTTCATGTTTGCTCTTAGGT